ACACGCTCGCAACTGACCTGTGTCGATAAGGAAACGATTACATCCCTTATCCTTCAACTGTTCTTGTCCTCTTCGCGTTGCGACTGCTGCTTTACGCACTAGAACCGCGGCCATACACCGGTCCTCATATGCTTGCTTTGCACCGAGCTAGTTGTACCCCCGAGCATACGTCGCCGGAGCTTCGTGAACAGATTTTATCGGCGAAGAGACAATTGAGGGGCAGAACTCGCGATCGCCAGCAGGCTCGTCAATCGGGAGATGTGTTGATGGCGACGTAGCGTTATGAGCCAAAAGAGAGGATGATGTACCATTGTTTACCGGCTTCGAGGGGCTGATGGGATGATGAACGCGTTGCGCCGGCAGAATGTATGGTTGTGTGAACGAGGTCGTGCAGTCAAACGAGGAAGCATTGACTTGACCGTGTATCGCAGTTCGAATTGGTATAGATATCGATGTGACTGGTGACTTTGGTTCAGATATCTGACGTTGTGTCGTGCGGCGATGAGGAGTGAAAGGTGGGGTATGTAAAGGCGCTAATCTCCTCACCCGTCGTGATGACCTGGAGCGAGTCGAGACGGTCGGCGGCAGCGTTTCGTATATGCGATGCAGCGGTGGTGTAAAACGACTCGCTATGTATTCTCTCGTGTAGTTCTCATTATCTTCCCACAATGGATCGGCGGCACTGGATACGAAAGGAGTGGCGGCGCGGCGATACGCAGGTATCATCACCGTGTTCGCGAGGTTGGTCTTTTCGCGCAGCGGGACGCGTGCACCCTTGTTTTGCAGCAACGGTCTCCGAAAAGTCTTCGTGGAGTTGTCGGCGTAGATGACGAAGTCGGGTTTGTGTCTTCTCTCTCTGTAAGTTGTTCGTAGATAACGTCGTGTATTTGAGATTGCGCAATCGATAGAGGTTGAAGTGGAATCTGGGGTGGCTACACGATGATGTTGCGCAGACGCCTGCATTGTGATGGTAGCGGTGGTGCTCATGATGTTGCCAAAGGGTTGGGTGACGAGATGAGTAAAAGGAGCTTAAGTAGTCACGATCAGCGTCGCACGTGGCATATGGTCGGTTCTTTCTGGTATCTTTCCAGGTCACTTTGGAATGCCCTGGATGAAAGACCAAAGGTGAAGGGGACGGTTTCGGGCCTGGTTCACCCTCTCGCGCTGAACCGGAAGCGCTCTTTGAGATCTTGATTCACTTGCACATCGAAGTCTCCGTAGTGCCCCTCTTGGACTATGTCCCATTCCCATCGTGTTCAAGGCGCCCGATGTGGACGCTAGTGCATCCGTGGAAGATCTAGATACCTGATACAAGGCAGAAACCAGACAGCCCTGCAGCTTATAATAGACAGCGAAGAGCAAATTGCAAGCCTCAACAACACACGTACTTGGCAAAGCAGCCGAGGAATGGATGTGTTCACGGACTAGTGCTGCCCTGTCGTATGGATGTGAGTCTCGTCTCCTTGCTGCAAACTCGCGCGTGTCATTGTATGGGCTTTGTCAGATCAGGAGACAGATGAGCTGGATGTCGCATCGTTGGAGTATCGCTGTTGGGAACCGGGAATTGATCACAGTTTGAGCGTGCTCAAGACATCTTGGAAAGGATACGGCGTGAGCTTCGCTGAAGATGGCGAGATGCCGTTGAAGATGCAGCTGGCGGCTGACCCCACGCTAAGGCGCGCCTGGAAAAGCACGGGTGCCCGGGTTCGCTTCAGCAATTAAGTGGGTTGCGCGCTGCTACCACGGTCATGGCTGAGCCACATGATGGCGTTCAACACATCACCGAGATTCACGCGCTCCAGCCTGAGCAGTAGCAACAACGAGATGGTCTATCGAAGCGAATGAATACGGCTGGCAGACTGCCTGTATTCTGATCGATGAGGAACATGTGACGAGTTTGGGTTTTCTGTTGACGATGGCGGATGTGGCGTTGGCACGCGCTGAAACCTGACCCGGATATGAGCCCGACAACTTTGGAATCGCGTGTAAGGGGTTCTACTGTTGCGCATTCTGGTTCTATGCGATCGTGTGCGCTCTGCGCAAAGACATCAAATCTCCCCAATCCATCGAGAGTGACTTTGACAAGCACTGCGCATGCCCAGGTGGTGTAGGGGTCGATGCAGTGAGAACCAGGGGATATTGGGGACGACTGTACAGGTGGCTGTAGCGACTCAGAATTTGCGTCGCTGCGACGACAATGTGAGACATTAAGAGCAAATACTCTGGGAATACTAGTACGTAACGACTACGGTACAGCGTAATGTGTGCCACGTGCCCTTTGCAATCGTTCGTAACGTAGACAGCCTGCAAACAATGACGATGCTGATCTGGCTCGTTACCTGACTTCTTTGAGCATCTATCGGGTTTGACAATCTTTCTATCGCGCCAGCAAGCCAGAAATTCACCCATGAACACAATGGCTGTTAGGATAGGCTCCTGCGAAGGAGGACGGTGTTGATGCATCCAGTGAAGCTGCGTGGTGGAGCGCCGCAGCAATGCCTGCATCCGTCCTCGATTGTCCTGACGCTTTGATGAGAGCTCCCAGGTTCACTGCCGGCTAGAACTTCTCAGCTTCTGCCACTTTGTCTCTGTGAGATTGTATCCTAGTTCAGGGATACGGTCGAGTTCTTCATTGCCCAGATTGTCGGCACTTTACTGATGACCGTCTCGCATGTGGCAAAGAAACGAAGGGGGAGGAAGTAAATTAGTATGGAACTCACAATCTGACGTACTTCGTTGCAACTATCCCGGACACGATCAAACGACATTGATACCTATAGAAACAAAGGAGACTACCTGTGTATTGTACAATCGATTCGCCCCCCTTCTAGACCAACCACTTAGCCGATGTGTAGCAGCTGTCGCTCCCAAGCTGAAGCTGGCTTTCTGATACGAACAGCACCGTACCTGTCACATGGTTCAAGGAGGCTTCGTTCACAGGGTGGTTGTCGTCGTCGGCCTGCTCCACGCACGTTGGGCCCTCCCATAGGCTCTCTATCGCATGCATATCGTTTGCCATATCGGGATGGGCGAACTGCTGCAAGCTGCGTTAGCAATGACCCATAATGGGAGAAAGAGATGCCAGCTGACCGTGCTGTGACGACTTACTGGAACGTCATGGTCCGGTAAGATGGATAATGAGGGCCAAGGTTGGTTCCAGGACGGGCGTCGTGCGCACTGGACATCTGATAAGACGGAGGACGAGCGCTTGCGCTTCTTCGGTGGAATCGTAGGCAATTCGCATAATTGAGATAGCCCTGGCGAGTCGTACTCTCGGCTCGAACATGGGGCTGCGCGCTCCTCCGGTGATGGTAGAGAAGAACTCAAGGACTCAGGTGTGAACCCACTGCTGATATCGTCGAGCCACAGGCTTATGGAAATGGCATTGTCCAATGGAAGACATATGTCGTGAGTTGAGTTCATAGCCGCTTGCGTTGGCAACATTGGAGTACGCTCCAGTAAAGGCGGCGGTGCGGAAAAGCATTCCGGTGTGGGGTCATCCCAATTGGTCACATCGCCGCCACCGAACTCAGGGCCGTTGGACATGTCTTGGAGCCAGGTCAGTGGCAGCTGTTCATCAACCACAGTGGATTGTTGCGCAAAGCTGAGAGTGGGAGAGCCAGCAGCAACGCGATGACTGGTGAATATGGAAGGGATACGAATTGGGCGCGCTCTTCTTGTTGTTGTAGCTGCGATAAAACTACCAAAGTCTTTGGTCTCCAACGAAATGTCATTCTTGTTCGGTTCTGTCACCCGCATGGAGGGGATTTCGGGAGCTTCGAGGGCACCGGAATGGCGGTTGTCCAAGGAGAACTTGTCTTTGGCCGAGTCGGCGGTCTGCATCATCATCAGACTGATCGCTGCTGCGATGTCATCGAAGTCTTCAGTGTCGGTTTGCGGACTGGTGGAAGGTTTCGTTGGCTCCATTGTCTGCATGGAACGGCTGCTCGTAGCGGGCGCAAAAGGATCAAGACCAGCAAGATCCATGAAATTATTTGTACCTGTGTCAGCGATGGAGTGGACTGGCAATGTCGAGGCTTGCTCTATGGAATCGTTGGTGAACGCAGGCGAGAGTTGGCCCTTCAGGATCTTCGGGAATAACGCTACCTCAGTCCCGATGTGCGTCTATATACTTATACTTGTCAAGTATCCAGATCAAGGCCAGCGAAGTTCGCGGCACAGTATTGCCTTGGTCGTGGCGCTAGATCGTGAGACGTTCATGACTAGCGTGTGTGTTCACACTTGCCCCCCATGCGCGCAAGCGAAGTCCCCATGTCAGCCAAAGACATGGCCATCGTCATGAAAACAAAGAGCATTCGACTAAATGCGTTCATAAAGTACCAGAGCTGGGGCAGGAAGAACATGGTTTTCGACCCATGAGGAGGTCGGGCTTCATCTCGCGCCCCCCATGATTGTGGCAGTCCGGTGGCGGACACCGTGTCATCGGTACGGGATAAGCTTTGCTCGGTGACCAAGGTAGCACTTGAATCACTCGCATGCAAACAGCGCACCTCACAATAGGAAACGAGCCCTAAGGTCAGCCTGGGTCCAAGACAAGGAAGTGGCCGTCGCAGAGGTATGAGGGTGGACAGACTGTGAGCAGGGTGCATACGTGTCTTGTATTGGCTCATTGCGGGCACGAACCATGGTATCTAGGAGGAGACATCTGATGCGAGGTGTGGTTGAAAGTATTCAGATGTCTATCCAAATCATTGACATTGCGGGTGGCGACGTTGATATGCATAAAAACTTGGTGGTGAAGAGGAGTTCCATGCATAGTTGTTCGATCTGGCTCCTGCGAACCTTCTCCAACGGTACAGCAGACTATGCGCGCACATAATGCTTGGGACATATAGTCTGATCGGTTGCGACTTTCGATCGAGTCCAACCTCCCAACTGGAAAGAAAGTCAAGAAGGTAAAGATGGGAAAGAAAGACAAAAGGGGAGGAAAGATAACACGAAAGAGACCCATTCAAGCCGACTGCAACGATATGTAACTACTAGTGACCTTGACTTCCACCGATTCGAGGATAGTAAAGACGTACCCATTCAGCCTGTGCGTGATACAACTTGTAGAGACCTGCGTGAACGCCCTCTTGATAATCTCTGGCAAAGTGACTACACTCCTCGTCCGAGTGGCGGTCTACCTTGTTGCGCATCGCTTTATTGGCTAGTCCAGGATGCGAGTAGGGCACCGAGAACCCAACATCACCAGCAGAGGTAGCAAAGTCTGCACGCAAAGGCTCGCCGAATCCGTCCATCCAGAAGATCAGAACGCCTCTCGTGAGAAGCCAGTCAGGCGTCGTTACCCCAAACTTCTCGCAGTATTCCGACATTGCGGGATTGACTGGCGGAGTTGATCCGTGGCCATCGGTGCTGACTTTGATCCCGTGGCGGTAATGAATCGTCGATGTCTGGATGGCGTCGCGCAGAAGCAACAGCATTTTCTGATTCAACAGGCCAAGGAGAAATTGACGTGTGTGAACTGTCTGGAGGCCGGAGTGTTTGCCAGGTACATGCACAAGTTGCACACGGATGGGGATATCCGGTCGAGGAAAGTCCACAGGCCACGACCACTCGCGACGCATCTCGATCTGAAGTAAGCCATGCACATCCATTTCGACGTTGCGCAGGGTCGTCGTGGGGGTGAGCTGAAAGGTAACAGAAATGCTCAGATGCCTGTTACGTAAGAATGCCCAGTGCAAACAATCGAAGCGATCTGGACCTCCGGCATCTTCGCGTACATAGCGAAGGAGATCCCAGAAACCCGACTTATCCGTAGAGGTGGTATTCATCGGAAGGCGCACCGTTACTGGCTCGGCCAGCATTGTGATGGAGGATAGCGCTTTCAGCCGAAAGGAGCGATTCAGAGCGAGCAAGGCGTGTAGGTGCTCGAGGCCACGTATCCGGCGCATACCAAGGTCTACTTCAATTGCCGAAGACGGCTCTTCCGCAGCCGCCATGTACGCCGAGACGATGCGACCTTGTACGCTGAAGGGAAGACCCGCCAATCTCGCCTGGCTCTTCTTTGCTGGGTGTCTGACGAGATGAGGGTGAGGATGAAGCTCCGCAGGGAGGCATTCGATGGGCATGGGACATGCACCTGTTGGCGTAAGACACTCGATGGAGCTCACGAGCCCTTCTGTTGAGCTCTTGAATCGAAGAAGGCAAGTGCCGGATGAAGAAATTTGGACGCTAGCGAGCAGCTTTCGTGGTGTAGTCAGAGCGACCGGTCCATAGGCAATAGTAGCAAAGGCGGCGTCTGCTGCACAAAGCGCGTCTGACCGGTCTACATCGAGATCATTGGCATAATGCTGGTGGGCAAGAGCGTATTGGATGTGACACCGGTCCAAGCGAAGTTCCCAGAGCGCGCGCAGCAGGGGTAGGACCTCGAAAAGCCGTGCGTTTGATGCGGTAACCGGATGAAACGATTGCAGCTCGTTCAGGTCGCGACCGCGGTGAACGACGTGTACGGTTAGGTGGCGAAGATGCCTTGCTTGTGATCCCAGTCCCAAAAGCCAACTAGTTGTGTGGTTCAGGGCAGATAACCATGTGGAACCCGATTCGGTCGCGGCAAGGAAACGGTTGCGGGTGTACAAGATGCCGACAGCTTCATGATATATTTGCCGGCATGTCGAAAGTAGCGCTACTGGAGGTACAAAATTCTGAGATGCATGCGCAGATGGCGGGACAGAGAGTGCTATCGGCTGCTCAAATTCGAAGAGCAGCTCGTAGACTATGTTACGTGCCTCACCCGAGAGGTTGAGAAAGCTAGGTGCCTGAGAATCGATGGGATGCGCCGTGACTTCGGGTATCGACACCGCATCTGCCGGAGGTCCCAGTGACAATCGCGGATACGCAGGCATGTTTCTGAAGGTGGAGATGCAGTACTATCGATATGTAGCGGTAGTCCAAGGGATGGAAACGGTGGAGGTAAAGAGGCGAGGGGTTTGCAGAGGCACCGAGCGTGTGGGAGAGGAGACGATACCCGATCGTCGGTGGTCGGCTGCGGCTTGTTGATGCTTGCGCGCTGATACGCATCGATGTCGATGGCGGAAGCGGTCGGCGCTGGGACTGCTACATTGATTGTTGTTAGTACTTCTCATTGACTGGTCGCATTGTAACAGGCAATGCTTAGTGTGTCTGACGGATGCGTTTACAGCACCAGACATGACTTGGGAACTCTCGTAGGCTCACCAGAAGGGCGTGAATCGTCTGGAAGCCAAACAAACGCTGTTGGATAGTAATCCGAGAGTGTGGAGAAAGCGACACAGTATATGAGACGATATAGGCCGTGCGAATCGCGGGCTCACAGAAAGAAAGGAATGGTCGAGGAGATGACGGATCTGCTTGCTTGATGAGCGCACCGGTGCCAAGATGCCATTGCGTGGTTGAGACTGAAACATGCAGCTGGCCATCAGTCGTGTAACATGGGAAGTGAAAAGCGACAGGTAGCGGGGTGAAGGCACTGTTCTATCCACAAGCGAGGCGCAAAAATACCTGTCCTTCTGATGGAATGAACATGGTAAGAGTTTGTAGATTCGATCCGAATATTTGGTGATATATCGATCGCATCAACTGCGTTGTGGCCTGCAACCCAGCCGCGTGCTCGTGGCATTGCATGCAAAGTGGAATGACCAGGCGATGTTCTTTGAGGAGGTGTCGGATGTAGTTCAGTGTGTAAGGCGTATCAGAGGGTGCACGGGTCGAGACCAGATAACTGGAAGGTTCATGGCCATTGTGAAGAAGAGGACAGCACTGCACCTAAGGGTGGCGAAGGGTCAGCTCTTGGTCATACAAGGTGAAAGATCTGTCGCACTCCAACACATTTGCAGGAACAGATGGGTTTGGCGCGAAGGTGGAGAGAATCTTCCGTGGTAATTGAGATGGGGAGGGCGAGGTGGTTGGCGATGATGACGATGGCCGCGGGAGTCTGTGCGCCGTGCCAAGGCTGCCCAGGTGTCTCTGCACCGCATTGCCCTCTACCATTGCCACCAGCGGTCCTTCGTTCCGGAACCTCAACAGCGGTATCGCGTATCACGTCATCGGCTGGTCAACCCGTCCACGCCCACTGAATCGACACGTCCACATCGCACTCTGCCGTGGCTGCGCGGCCGAGGTCACCATATGCCCACTCGGCATGTCCATCACCGGGGACGGGCGACATGTCACCGATGGCGCGCACATTTGTTCAGGGGCAGCCATTGGCTTACGCGATTACAGACATGAACGAGGCCCAATTTGCACCGCAGGGAAACTCCCTTTCGTGCTCCAGTCACGTCACAGAGCCTCCCCAACGCCATAAAACCTATCCTTAGCCACTTTCGACCGCCCCCGACCGCCTCCGACCGCCTCCAACAATGCATACTACTCCTCCACGCGCGAGAGGATGCGTGAGCGGCGCATTTGCGTGTCACTTTAACAAGAGCACCATCTGACCGTACGCAGGCTACGCCATTCGCAATTCAAGAGGCCGAGCAGATGCGCTGCCGTCTACGTGGGTAGAGAAACACAAGTCGTGAGAATTTTGAAGGCAATGTCGACATGAGCGTCTGGAAACTCGAACTGCTGCGATGGGCAGGCCCTGCACCGCATGTACCTTTCACGTCCTGTGATGCATGACAAGAAACCAGATGTCGCGCGTAACAGACTTCCCCGCGAGCACTACGCGATGTTCTCGACTATCAGAAGGATCCTCTGGGCAGAGGCCGAAGTCGATGTACTTCCGTCCTTGGCATACCGCGCGCTTGCAGCACTTAGCCCATAATTGACACTGCCTATCATTGAGTGCCTTCACGACCAAACCTGTCCAGCCTTCCGCGCTTAATTAAGCTTGATCGCTGTCCTCTCGCCCTCGTGCAAGACGATACGTCAAGCTTGCTCCAGCTAAGTATGCCCAGTTCATCCCTCTGCTCCTACGCTGGTATCTTTGTTGCTCCAGGCGCCCGAACCTGGACCACCCATTCTCGTACATTCCATTCCTTGTTTTGCTGGTCCATACATTCCAAAAGGTCACTTTCTAGATGGCAACCACTGTTCGGGAAGCATCAGTAAAGAGCGAACTGACACCCAAAAAGGAAACATGGAAGTCATACATATGCGCCCATTGCAAGAGACGACCCGGTGGTCGGCCACATAGAGGTCACGGCCCCATTCATCTGAGATGCGATATACATGGCCGAAAGCGCGGTCAATGCCGCAGGTGGCTGGTGAGTGCTGGACTTTCGACACTCGCTGGGGATGTCGCTCTCAGCGTTGTATCAAATCATAATTCAGATATTCAAACATGGTATTGGGCAACATTATCGAATCGTGACTTTGATGTAGTGATTGTGTTCCTGTAGCGCCATTTCACCAGACCTCACGAGCGAGACGCTCTTCGGTGATGCACAATGTACTCTTGTCCTCACACACGACATGCATCTTTCACTGTGCTGAATCTCTTGAGGCAGGACGATCAGGTGCACACATGAACGAGCCAGTTGAACAGCTGACTTATCTGACACAACCGACAAGAGCCCGATTTAGCAAAAGGCAACGGGAAAGCTTTCTCATCTGCGCTCGTTTGCCTTGCTCGTCCGGCACTTACTCCTGTACCACACTTACTCACGATCCTCACCGCGCATTCAATTCCCATATCAACCAGACCAGCCATTGACGTTTTATCGCTCAGCGTTCAAGGGAGGCCTGGTGATTTACTTATTCACTTCCTTCGCTTTCATCGACCACTGCCGAACAACGAACTCTCCAGGCGCGACACGGCTATCATGAACGAAAAGGCTCTCCACGCTACGCAATCCAAAAGCTCGTCCGTCACAGGCGATCTCAGGAAGTGGCTAAGGCTTCAGTGGTCCGGCTTTCTCACCACGCTCGCCGTCTTCCGGAACGGACTGAAGACACGCTCGCAGAAGCTCCGGAGCCGTTTCATCGCCACTGGCTGATCGTCCCATTCTTAGTGCTCATTGCTTGTTAAGTCATGCTGGAGCTTGTTCGTGTGGATACATTCGAGCTATAAGCGGTCGGAGCGGCCGTAAGTACATGCGATACCTATGAGCTTGCTCTGGGCTGACGATGTAGTTGAGATCAGTGTGGTGTCAAGGGCTCTACCATAGCCAATGTTACGGTGACTCGGTCGCCATTGATCTTGCGGTTCTGGAAGGGGTTATTTATAAACGCGTTTGCAGGGAACAAGCGAATGGGACGTTTTTACTCATTCGACGCAGCTCGAAGAAGACCGGTGTGTCTTCTTAGGCCGGTCTGATTACGACAACTTTCGCTAGCGAGACGACTTTGCCCTTACGATATCTTCCCACGAGAAGCGTTTTGGGCTTCTGCTAATACCTATCAATCGATGATCTTCTTCATGAGCGCCTTGATCTTGACTGCGAACCATTGCCATCCCTATCACCTTCTTGTGTCCCCGACTATGAGCCACTTCCCATCAGAGGAACCAAAACCGATCCATGCGAAGTCTACAGTGGAGCATGCTACGACATGATGGACGGTAGACATGATCGTGAAGAACATGTGGTCAACAATGGTGAAGGCTTTATACGAAGTTCCCACGAGTGACGCGACATTAAGAAATTGATAGAGCCCGACGTGAGAGCTTGAGATGCAATGGTGCGATGCGAAGCGGTGCGGAGAAGTGGTCGCGGTGTGGTTGAGTCAAGGCTCGCATGAGGAAGTCGGACGCGTCTTCACACATTGCCGAGGCAGCTTCAACGATCTAACCGCTTGAAGAGAACGTCTACATAATGCTATCCATCAGGTTTACCCGGGCAAAACGAGTAGTCCGCAACTTGGCTGAATCCCATCTAATAAGTCCGTAACATCTGTGAGGAGTTCGGGTCTGTTCATCTACGTTGCAGTATGTGATCAGCATAGCGTCTTCTCCTGCCCCATCTCCGCATCTCCGCAGCAGTGTCGTATCAAGCCGGTAAGTAACCTGCAGTGATCTCGAATGCAGAAGTCGAAGCTGTCTTCTCCTCTTTGAAGATGGAAACCTGAGAGATGCGACACGCGATATGATGACAACTGACAAGAGTTGCGCATGCAGCATGCGGCGCGTCAGCATCACGTGATGGCGCGCTTTCAGCGCAAACGCGTCGCGTCAGGCTGGCTAGTGCTATCTACTAGCAGCATGCCACCTGTCATGTACCAAGCTTATCCCAGTTCTGTCGCATTTGTGCTCGGGTAAATTGAACGCGACATTCGGTGTGGTAATATTGGCGTGGCGAAATGTTGCTGATGACTTTGGAAGGTGCCCGGGTGCTGTTGCAAGATCACATCATGGGCGGGATGGAGCCTTACTAATCAGCCGAGGTTGCTGTATTGAACCCTGACCGGTGGCAGGCCTGGGAACTTCGAACTTCCACCTTCAGGCTCCCATACTGCCTATGGAATCTCGGCATCGAAACCCAGCCGCGCCACCAAAGGTGCAGCACAGTGACGTGTCGGTCAGGACACGAAGTGATAGGAGGGCTTTCGTGACGAGAATACGCGGAGAAGGGAGGCCTGCAAGAGCGCAGCACATTGGAGCGACGATCAAGATGCGTTGTATCTGCTCTGCCTCGAGACACATCGGAGATTCAGGTCTGCATGATTACAGTTCATGTATCATTGCAACGGGCAAACTGGTAATTATATCCTCGGCTTTCTTACAGGCTCGCCGCTATGAAACCGCACACCATACTTTCTCAAGATGACCCCCATATCTTCTCGCTGACTGCCATCATCCGCATTCACGTCGGTACTCTCCCTCCTTTGCGCTCGGCGACAAAGCCTCTTCGCGTCCTCTGCCATTCTTATGTTGGATGCGCGGTCGCATGACGTATCTCAGCGACGTGAGTATACGTCCCCCTCT